AATCACCATTTCGTTTCATTTACCCTTTAATGTGCTAGCCACCAGTCTCTCTGTTCCCTCATCAGGCTCCAACGTCAGCAAATCACGCGGTTTCTGTCTTGTAAATGATCGAGCCATGGTAACCTTCTGTCCCTAAGTACGTTTAAGATGTATGTGAGGTCAACTAACTCTAAAAATGAGTAGTTCCTGATGCGACTATGCCAAGTGGTGGTCATCGACGTGCCACGCTGCCGGCGTTGTTCGAGGCTATTCAATCCGCGTTCGTGTGATTTTGTAAGCGCAACTGTTTCCAGCTTGCACAGTGAAACCGACCTGACCCCGGCGCTGTAGATCTGAATATTGGTGGTGGCTGTTATTCAGCTTTCAAGTCTGGGTTTCTGAGAAGCTTTTAAAGGTGAACGTAACCTCCAGTGCAATCCTTCAGTTTCGGCCTTGATAACAGTTACATCTTTGGAGATGATTGGGCCAAGGTATTTAAACTGCTTCACTTCTTCCATGGTGCTGCTTTTTGATACACCTTAAGTTCCGCTGTTCACGTACATTTCTCACTAAGTTGTCGTCGTCTTGTTCAGCTGGAATGCCGCAGCTGTTGCTAACGCTGCTTCATTTACCGTGTGAAGGAATTCATCACTGTCACCCAGTGAAAGAAGAAGGCGTACGGGTTCATGGCGAGAAACTGAATGTCTGTTCTGTAGCGATGTGCTAACCATGTCTCGTTTTCAGGCCCCCGTACGAGTGTCGTATCATGCACGATTGGACGCGATGAGGAAAGCGAGCAGTAACCAACTGTGTAAAGTATTGCTGATTCTGTGCTGTGGCATGGTAAGCTGCCGTTTTGGTATTCGTTTGTTCCTTAACCGACCAGCGATTCACACAGGCGATCACGACGACGACAGCTGAAAAAGGCAGTGCTGCTTATGTGAGCACTTCCGACAAGAAGCGAGTTCAAGGTAAGCAGCGTCTTCGCAATTTTTCCTCGTTACTCTACATTCTGGATTGCAAAGCACTCCGAAATGGCGAAAGACGTCATAAGAAGAGGTCCAAAGATTTTGGTGTTTAAAAGAAAGTAAATTCAATTCCTACCCCTGACGGGGGACGTCTTAGAAAATCATCCTCAGACTGCCGGCCCAGCCCTACGGGAAAAACCCTTTCAGGCCTGCCGATAATGAATTAACTGTTTTGCACAAATTATTATAATGCCCCGATAAAGGACTGCTCTGCTTGAAGGAAATGGAATTTTTCACTGCCGAGCAGGAACGTTGGATCTGCTTAAAAAAAGTCAACATTACTGCCGTTGTATAGAGTAGCCCGCAGTGGTTCAACGAATAGGTAACTCCCAGACCGTCTGTAGCGTCAGTTATCTTCATTTGATTATATGCTGCATCAATAAGTGCACCTTTACACGTCATAGTTGTCTCGATCTTTGAACTAGTCAATGAAGGTTCACATATCTAATTCAGACAGCGCATAACTCGCTCAAAATCAGATTTAACGTGTATCGTACCGGCCAGTTGTTCCTGGTTGCCCATGGGGGAGGACGGGGTTTCAGCAAGCCACAGTTGTACATATCCTTCCTGAATCTTACGGCCCCGTACCTCAAGGTGATAGGATGGATGAGAGCGGGTTCTTAATATCATATACAATTAAACCTATTGGACTTGACAGATCCAGTCGTAATGTAAAAGCTTGAGAAATATTCCCGGCCAAGCGAAAGAGACTACGCTCTCTTGCCTACCTAGCCAACAGAGGAGTTATGGCTAAATCCATCAAAATAAAGTCACAACTGAAACTACGACCTTTGAAAAGGCTTGTCGACTTTATTTCCGTATTTCCTTAGGACTAATGAAAGCAGTCATAATCCTTTGATTAGTTGACGGATGATAAATATATCGCTAAGTGCTCCCCTACGGCATTAATCCGACGACGACCTCCCAATCGCTGTCTATCTGTGTTGTTCTGAGACTACAAATCTCCTGACCTTCCTGACAGCTGTCTAAAAGTCAGCACAAGGTGTAATCGTTGGCTCAAAAGAATTTAAGACAAATATAATGAAACGAAACTGTGACTCTAATTTCCGCAAGAGAAAATAGTGCTTCTACATGTGATCTTCCGCAATATTCTAAATTCATTGTTGAGCAGTCAACGGAATGGCATCCACAATCATAACGTAATCAATGTGTTTCCCAGTAAGGATATTATACTCTCATTTACCATCTGTTCTTCCGTTCAATACTTCCTGCGCTAAAATTAATTTTCTTTTAGACAGATTGAATTTAAATTTCAAGATGGGTGGGGTGTAAGATGTCATTTCTTTTCAACACTGTCCTGGTTGTTGGTCATTTGAAGCCTTGGCTGAACACTAACGCGTAACGTAGCCGTTGATGACGGTTCGTTCAGTTGTTCTTCGCTCTAGAATATGATACCGTATTCAGGGTATTACCCGTCCTCAGCGATTGGGTACGTTGGGACGTGGCAGCATAACGGTGAACAGGTCGGTTTCAAATCGGGAAGTGCCGGTTTCGATTCTGGATAATGGACGGACGATTTTTGTCCTAACTGTAAATATATTGTGGCTTGCAATTTACTCCAAGTTTCTTCAGTACAAGCACCTGACAAACCGATCGATAATCGTTGATTTGTAAACATCAACGGCAATATTGTGTTCCGTTATAGTTATACCAGATTGGACGAGAGATTCCGCCTTTCCACCCGATGCCAGCGCCTCATGTGAATGCACTTCGTCTGCGAGTCAACTATCGACTGTGATAATCACATGATGTGTAACCTCCAGAAAAAACATCAGTTGAATGACAAGCCACTACAAATAGCCATGTTTAATTTTACAAATTTTCCGGAACTCTTTGTCATTTCAATTTCCACCAAATAAATTGAGTCAGTCAGTTTTGACGACCGTCTACCTTTCGGGGTCCCCAAGGGCAGCAGCGCAGCGTCAGACAATGTCTCAGCGTGAGGTTTCAGCAGCGACCGTCGAAAAAGGCGTTGAATTCGTTACGAGTCATTACCACTCGCCGGCGAGTGAAAAACCACTAGTCGTAAAACGTAAAAAAGTTCTTTATGTTGTGTGTAGTAGTCGCTTTGCAAATATTCGAATAAAATATGCATCCGTTATTACTCGACCGGCCGAAAGCCGTATATAGTCAAAAAAGCGATGAGTTCGACTGCAGCGCTTTGTGCCATTCGTTTCGGTTCGGCTCCGTTTCCGTCCTGAAACGGTCATCGTCCAGCGCAGTTCAACGAACCGAGGGCGAGGTAGCAAAGTTTTTTATGGTGAGGACCGGTTACTCTCGAACTCATCATTCAATGGTCGGATACGATCGGGACTACGCAGAACGAGTACGCCTATGAAGCTGTGTATCAGGGGTGGACCGCTGCAAATGCCGGCACGGTTCGACCAGCGACAAGCACCTGCCGTTTTGTGGCCTTCATTAAACCAGGCTTTCATAGAAATTTCGCGGCACGAATAAGCAATCAGTCCTCGATTATTTACTGTAGCAGATAGGAGGGAGACATGCGGATTTGTAACTGGTCAGTAGTCGCTGTTTGAGACTGAATCCAGCTAAATCGATAGAATGCATGTTTCTGTCGCAACAGCGTCTGACACACCGTTAAAATGCACAACAGCGGACACATCTGCGTAAATGCGTTCCTCATCTTTAAAATAAATCAGCACATATGAAAATCTACTTTACTGAAATGTACAATTATTGGATAATGTCCAGGTCAGTTCTGTATCCGTAGTCTTCATGTTTCGTACGGTATTCGCTCGGTACTAGATTAATTATCGACTTTCGAGCCACACTTGGGTCGTGTAGTTTCCCCATGACTACGAGCCAAGTATCACGAAACGCCAATCAATTCTCTATGAAAGTCTGCACGTGTCGCCACTCTGCAAGAAACATGGAAGCAGAGGACTCCATCTCCCTCGCAAAATAGGTGTTCAATTTTCGAGTATGGTCAGTTTTCAGCTTCAAAGTTTTAACATTATATGCTTTCTATGTCTATGCTTAAACTTAGGAAAACTTTTGCTCAACTTGAACCCATACCCGACGTAAAATTTTGAACGTAATTGTTCTATGTAAGCTTTTCTGCGTATATTGATTAATCGAAGAATGGCGTATATTTATATTTGGTAAAGTCGTAACACAAAAAGAAACCTAAAAGATCTAATTTATTAGGCGAAATTCTAAGTTGTCTTGCCAAAAGAATTGTGATATACAGTGAAACATGCAAAGCAAGGGACGGTTCGAGAAGACGACAGCAGTACTGTGAATGTCGGAGAATTAGGAGGTGAAGCACTGGCCGCGATATTATCGCGCCTAGTTCTACGTTTTTTAAAGGAAGTGAAAATTTCACACAGCTGGCCATCTTCATCGGTAATTATATTCCACAGAAAACGAGACAAAATGGATCTGACGAGCTACTGGCGTGTAAATTTATTCCTCACCCTCACAAGATGTTCATGAATGTACTATGAATGTACTTACTAACAGATTTCAAAGAAAACTGCACTCTATAAGCCAAAGGATCAGGAAGGATTCAAAAATTGGTTTAACTTGATGAATCATCTTCAAGCGTTGCAACAAACGATTCAGGAAAGCAACGAATAGCAGCTTCCTTTGCACACGGGTCGATTCGATATCCAGAAGTCTGTCGAATGGGTTTTTATTGGATTCTTTGAGGAGCCAAGAGAATCTTCGAGATAAGATACAAAGACGTCATCGCCGTGGTTTATGACTGCAAGTGTAAATGCGACTGCCAGTGTGAAACTTCACGAAAGCACAGTCAAGTTCAAAATCGAAATGGGCATCTGATAGGGTGATCATCGAATTAATTCAAGCAGCCGAAAAGGAAGTTTTCAGAACGCTCCATTTTAAAAATCAGGGGCTACAGATAAATTGGTATTGTTTAAGCTACCTGCGGCTTGCGACATTCTGATACTCTTAGGGTCGCTAGAACTCCAACGAACATTCCACGACCTGAATGACGTCAGCACCAGAGAACGACTGAAAATGAACCTGAAGATGGTTCAGTTTATGCTTAACAAATACATCACCCATCGGCATGTTTAACTCAGTGGACTTAAGCTTGAGGATGTGCAGAACTTTGTCTGTCTGGAACAGCTCATCTCTGCAGCGGAGTACTGATTTTGCGAAAATCAAGTGAGAGCAAAAATGGCCGAGACCACTTTTGGAGGATCGAATATGTTCTTAGCCGGAAAACTGCCCGTGTGCTTGAAACAGACAGTTCACGTTCAGTGTGTTCTTTCAGAGGATGCGAAACTTGGACCGTCACCCTGAAAGCTAATTATAAACTGTAGAATATGGTATGCAGCATGAAAAGATGTATGTTGGGAATAATAAGAAAAATAGGAAGACGAATGAATGAGTAAGAGCACAAACTGGAGTCTGTTATGTAACTGCACTAGTGAAGAAGTTGAAATAAATGTTGAGTTGAAGTTACTGGAGAAGGGAAACATTGGATTGAGTTCCAAACAAATGCAAAAGCCACTCAGAAAGATCTCCAGATAGACTATGGCATAAGATGAAGAAGTTTGTTGGATCTTGATGGGTAAGAACTGCAGAAAGTCGATGTTTATGGCCAGAGGTCTTGATGAGGTTTTGATATAGCAGTCAACTGAGAAAAGTTGATGACGACGAAAATTGGAGTATGCAGTCGGATGGCGACTTTGTTTTGACGTCGTCTCTGTCTCTGCGCTAGAAACAAGAATTCGTGAAGTTGTTTCTTTATATATAATTACCCAGCGGTTTCCCATACCAGCCTCATCGCTTTGTGACGGTCTCTGACGTTTGGGCAGGACTCTTTGGGTGTAGCTGTTTGGGCTCACAAAGCTTTACGTAAATGCGTAGCAATGGATAGGGCTGGATGCAACAGCTGATGGAGATGACCACCGTCCAACCACATAATTCGAACTTACTTGGCGATCCGAAAAGTTTTTGGACTCAAGCTGTTACTTCTCGTGAATCAGAGTTTGAAACTAGGCTGGCTTGAGCATGCAGTGTGAACGTCGCTAGGAGGGTAATTAAGCTATTCATTGTTCGACCCATAGGCAGGAAGCCCTGCAAAAAGTCGTAAATGTTTTACAGCAAATGTACCAGTGAATATCTCCTTCAGACTCGAAATATTTCCTTTCAACGCACAGGAGCGATGCAAGATCTGAAAGTTTGCCACCATATATGCATTGTTCCCACCGTATTCGAAAAGTAAATGCGAGGTTCAAAACCACTGACCAGCTTGGTTAATGTTTCTCCCTCCAGTTGTTCCAGACGGTTGTCAATTATTTGCTTTCTTATTTCTTTGACGTCTGATGCTTTTATGTGTGACCACTGCATCTCGTGCTTTCAGTTAAATCCTTTGAGCACCTGGAGAGCGTATACTTCCTATGTCTGTATTCAGCCAACAGAAAGTCGAGTCGCAATACATATTTAATATATGAAAAATAGAAGGTCGCCGTCTGGTTCGGCGACTAGTAGTATCATTATGTATTTCCTTGGTCGATAAGTACCCCAGTTGATTCAAACGTAACATTATGTCAATAAAACATTTAGGGTAGAAGGATATTACATAAAGACTGAACAAAGATATGCACAAGATCCGAGTTATTGTTGCACCACTGATAGATTGCGGAATAGGGAGCATCAAAAACTGTTTAACTCTATATTTGCGTTTAGTTTTTCTCGACTGCGGTTCTCAGTACATTACGATCAACCTGAAATTCAACTCTTCGTACACGCCATGGTTCAACGATTGGATTCTCGTCGGAAATTCAGACCGACCAGCATGCAGAATCAAAGGCGACGGTGGCCTCAACTACCTAATCGAAGTACCGATCTTCAACGACCCTTGTGGCTTGCAGAGAGTAAGTGAATAAATGCGGTCATTTTGGTGAGTACCAACACTTAGTGATTCAGCAAACGATGAAAGAAAAGTCAAACGTTTAAAATATAGTTGTACATTGTACATGTATGTTTTCTGTATTACGAAAGGGGCAACGCTATTCCTTATTACGCTGGCAACCATGCGATAAACGGGCGGGTCTTTCAGCGAAGATTGACAAACCGTCCCTTTTTAACTGGTCAACGTCCACTAAACAATATGGCAAAAACGGAACTGTTGTTCTTCTGTACATTCTGTTGGGAAATATATGCGGACATACTCGGCTCGCCAATCTACCAGTTTCGACTGACATCCCGAGAATTAAACGTGAATTTGAGCAGCTATTTACTATAATTTTTCCAAATTTCACTGTGCATGTTGATGTTTCCTGAGAGAGTGAAGCGTCCCAGTGATTCGAAATTCTTGTGACCTCTGTTTGAAACAACGGCGAGGTTACGCATATGAGAATAAGTACATTTTTCTTGTTGATAAACCTACCGGACAGTCAGTCAATTTCAATGACCGATCACTTTTTCTGGTTGTGGAGGCGAACGCGTCAGACAGGATCTCCAACGCTTCCGATCCTGTGCCAGCATTTGAGCTTGAGTAGAAGGGAACGTGAGTCTGAAGCCAAACCTGTCGAAACCCTGCCCTAGTTCATTCTTGGCCTTCTGCGACGTTGTCGTTTGAGCAAGTAGCAGCTGTCTTCTATTCTTTTCTGAAAGCATTTGCAACATGTGCCAAAGTCATCGCTGGTATGACTTCTCAATCTGGAGAAGTAAGGCTTCCACACCAAGGCCCTCTTAGATATTTGAACCCCGAACC